AACATGATGACGTCACTTCCTGTGGTTTCAGTGAATCTGAATAATCCTATCATAAACTGAAACCACAGACAGTCGGGACAAGACTTTGAAAATGTGTTTTGTTGAAAACATGAGTTAAATGTGTTTTGTGAGTCAGCTGCATTTAAAGAAACAATAGAATCTTCACTTTAATAAAACACAATGTTTTCTTTTTTTACCTTCAAAGCTAATGTGAGAAAGTGTGTTTTCCTGTGATTTTAGAAAGTAACTATTTATAAAACTAGACTTAAAGTAGTAACTGTAGTGGATTACATTTACTTTGTCGGTCAATGAAGCCCAACAGGGAAGTGCTCATGGACAAAGTTTTGCTCCAACTCGCTCCTATTGACTTACATGTAAAACAACTCTTCTCACTGTTTCTGTTGTGGCTTAATCCGGGGTTTATGGTTCTCCGTGACCCTGGTGGTTATGTTTGTTTATGGTCCTCTGTGATCCTGGTGGTTATGTTTGTTTATGGTCCTCCGTGATCCTGGTGGTTATGTTTGTTTATGGTCCTCCGTGATCCTGGTGGATATGTTTGTTTATGGTCCTCCGTGATCCTGGTGGTTATGTTTGTTTATGGTCCTCCGTGATCCTGTTGGATATATTTGTTTATGGTCCTCCGTGATCCTGGTGGTTATGTTTGTTTATGGTTCTCCGTGATCCTGGTGGGTATGTTTGTTTATGGTCCTCCGTGATCCTGGTGGTTATGTTTGTTTATGGTTCTCCGTGATCCTGGTGGTTATTTTTGCTTATGGTCCTCTGTGATCCTGGTGGGTATGTTTGTTGATGGTCCTCCGTGATCCTGGTGGTTATGTTTGTTTATGGTCCTCCGTGATCCTGGTGGGTATGTTTGTTGATGGTCCTCCGTGATCCTGGTGGTTATGTTTGTTTATGGTCCTCCGTGATCCTGGTGGTTATGTTTGTTTATGGTCCTCCGTGATCCTGGTGGGTATGTTTGTTGATGGTCCTCCGTGATCCTGGTGGTTATGTTTGTTTATGGTCCTCCGTGATCCTGGTGGGTATGTTTGTTGATGGTCCTCCGTGATCCTGGTGGTTATGTTTGTTTATGGTCCTCCGTGATACTGGTGGTTATGTTTGTTTATGGTTCTCCATGATCCTGGTGGGTATGTTTGTTGATGGTCCTCCGTGATCCTGGTGGGTATGTTTGTTTATGGTCCTCCGTGATCCTGGTGGGTATGTTTGTTGATGGTCCTCCGTGATCCTGGTGGGTATGTTTGTTGATGGTCCTCCGTGATCCTGGTGGGTATGTTTGTTTATGGTCCTCCGTGATCCTGGTGGGTATGTTTGTTGATGGTCCTCCGTGATCCTGGTGGGTATGTTTGTTTATGGTCCTCCGTGATCCTGGTGGGTATGTTTGTTGATGGTCCTCCGTGATCCTGGTGGGTATGTTTGTTTATGGTCCTCCGTGATCCTGGTGGGTATGTTTGTTGATGGTCCTCCGTGATCCTGGTGGTTATGTTTGTTTATGGTCCTCCGTGATCCTGGTGGGTATGTTTGTTGATGGTCCTCCGTGATCCTGGTGGTTATGTTTGTTTATGGTCCTCCGTGATCCTGGTGGGTATGTTTGTTTATGGTCCTCCGTGATACTGGTGGTTATGTTTGTTTATGGTTCTCCATGATCCTGGTGGGTATGTTTGTTGATGGTCCTCCGTGATCCTGGTGGGTATGTTTGTTTATGGTCCTCCGTGATCCTGGTGGGTATGTTTGTTGATGGTCCTCCGTGATCCTGGTGGGTATGTTTGTTTATGGTCCTCCGTGATCCTGGTGGGTATGTTTGTTGATGGTCCTCCGTGATCCTGGTGGGTATGTTTGTTTATGGTCCTCCGTGATCCTGGTGGGTATGTTTGTTGATGGTCCTCCGTGATCCTGGTGGTTATGTTTGTTTATGGTCCTCCGTGATCCTGGTGGTTATATTTGTTTATGGTCCTCCGTGATCCTGGTGGTTATGTTTGTTGATGGTCCTCCGTGATCCTGGTGGGTATGTTTGTTGATGGTCCTCCGTGATCCTGGTGGGTCTGTTTGTTTATGGTCCTCCGTGATCCTGGTGGGTATGTTTGTTGATGGTCCTCCGTGATCCTGGTGGGTATGTTTGTTTATGGTTTTGGTGAATCCAGATTTAAGCCACAGAAGAAGACGAGCCTTTTCAGTCCCGTAAGATCCAACAAGAAACAAACATTTTTTATTTGATTTGTAACAATGACGTCATCAGATATTACTACTGAAAGGAGGATTCTCTACTTCCTGGTGGATCATCAAGCCTATTGGTCCTCACAACTGTCAATCATCCTGCTGATACGTGCTGTCGATTGGCTTCTTCTACATTACAGGTGATGTCACACTCTGTCCTCTGCAGTCTGTGCGTCGGGCTCTGAAGTGACTCTTGGGTTTCGTAAAGACAGAGTTTGTTTCTAAAAATGTGTGAGATTTGTGAGTAAATAATTAAAAAGGTAAAAGTAATAATTAGCTTGAAGGTCGGTGGGCGGGAGACTCAGTTTTATCGCCTCAAACCTTTTTCTTTCTGTTAATAAACACTGTTGTTATGTTGGATTTTAGTGTCGCTCACGAGACCCGAGATAAGAACATGAAGGTGGAAATGTACAGCGGGAAACACAGCTCCAGGCTCTTCACCGGCTTCTTTCAGACATTCACAGATTCCTTAAATAAGTCTGTAAATAACCAAAGACCTAATGTTATTATTTTATTCTTAGTTTTTGCCTTCAGAGTTCAAATGTCAGAATGTCAGACTTCAGAAACAAAACAAGGCAACAATTATAATGCAAAGGATAATATTACTTAATCATGAGACTAATAATAATATAAAATAAAAATACAAGAAAAAAGGATTTATTGAAAATGTCAGTAAAAATAACACAATAAAGAGGTAAAAAAAACTACTCTACTCTACTCTACTCTACCCTACTCTACTCTACCTTACTCTACTCTACCCTACTCTACCCTACCCTACTCTACTCTACTCTACCCTACTGTATTATTCTCTACTGTAGTCTAGTTTAGAGTAGAGTAGGGTAGAGTAGAGTAGAGTAGGGTAGAGTAGTGTAGGGTAGAGTAGAGTAGAGTAGGGTAGAGTAGAGTAGAGTAGAGTAGAGTAGAGTAGAGTAGAGAAGGGTAGAGTAGAGTAGGGTAGGGTAGAGTAGAGTAGAGTAGGGTAGAGTAGAGAAGAGTAGAGTAGAGTAGGGTAGAGTAGAGTAGAGTAGAGTAGGGTAGAGTAGAGAAGGGTAGAGTAGGGTAGAGTAGGGTAGAGTATAGTAGAGTAGGGTAGAGTAGAGTAGGGTAGAGTATAGTAGAGTAGGGTAGAGTAGAGTAGGATAGGGTAGAGTAGGGTAGAGTAGAGTAGGATAGGGTAGAGTAGAGTAGGGTAGAGTAGAGTAGAGTAGAGTAGAGTAGGGTAGAGTAGGGTAGAGTAGAGTAGAGTAGAGTAGGGTAGAGTAGAGTAGAGTAGGGTAGAGTAGAGTAGAGTAGAGTAGGGTAGAGTAGAGTAGAGTAGAGTAGGGTAGAGTAGGGTAGAGTAGAGTAGAGTAGAGTAGAGTAGGATAGGGTAGAGTAGAGTCGAGTAGGGTAGAGTAGGGTAGAGTAGAGTAGGGTAGAGTAGAGTAGGATAGGGTAGAGTAGAGTAGAGTAGGGTAGAGTAGGGTAGAGTAGAGTAGAGTAGGGTAGAGTAGAGTAGAGTAGAGTAGGGTAGAGTAGGGTAGAGTAGAGTAGAGTAGAGTAGAGTAGGGTAGAGTAGAGTAGGGTAGAGTAGGGTAGAGTAGAGTAGAGTAGAGTAGGGTAGGGTAGAGTAGAGTAGAGTAGAGTAGAGTAGGGCTGGTGGAAACAGGGCTTCAGTTTGAGGAGAGGGATTACTTTATTAGCTAAGAGCCAGAGAAATGCAATATAAACACATGGACAGAGGAGTGAAAACTAACTCTAGCTACAATAATCAGATACATTGAACACAAGAACAAATATTCAGCAGATTTAGAAACTTAATTCAACATCCTGCTGTGATACAGACCTTTACACGTCTATAGTATAATGCTAACTGTCACTGTTGCTAGGTGCTGTCTGTTGCTATGGCGACGGTGAAGCCATATGACACCTGTAGTTCAATGTAAAATTATACAAACAAACGTTGATTTTGTTTTTAAATGCCGCTTCCAGGTGCGACTCATACCGAAAATACAGAAACCACAATAAACACATTCCTCCAACACAGTGACTGCAGCGCTCTAAGTTGCACGGTGGCTGAGTGGATAGCACTCTCGCCTCTCAGCAAGAAGGTCCTGGGTTCGAATCCCGGTCGGACCAGGGCCTTTCTGAGTGGAGTTTGCATGTTCTCCCCGTGTCTGCGTAGGTTTCCCCTACCACTAAAAATATGTCCAATAGTTCTGGCATGCGCCTCCTGTACTGGCCCCGCTCCCATCTCTGTGTGGAGTGAGAGACAAATGCCCAAAAATTAACAATTGTAAACCGCTTTGAGACTCAGATCTGCAGTGAAAAGGCGGTATATAAATAAAAACTTACTTACTTACTTACTAAGTTATTTTTATTGTTTAATTTGTGTCAAAAACAGAAATTCCATTAAATAACATCACATTCTGTCCTGTAAAAGTAAAACAGTCTCTCCTTTCTCTCCCGCACCTCCCTCCGTCTCTTCTGTTGTGTGTTTGCTCCTCATGGCTCATTTCCATGCTTTGCTCCTATTGGCTGAGCTCTCCTGTTTGCCGCGCTCCTATTGGCTCAGCCTGCTGTCATTCCCGCCCCCCGCGCTCTGCCATTGGCTCTCCGCTCTGGACCTCTCAGGTTATCTTTCCAACTCCACTCAATGAAGCTTATTTTCCTCCAGAGTAACGGAGCAGGCGCAGCGACTTAAAGCTTCTTTACAACAAACCTAAAGAGACGAGTTTTGACGTTTTCCGGACTCGCTGTGTGTCCATGAGCGAAGGACGAAGGCCGGGAACATGCAGACGTCCAAAGGGTTCCGCATGGATGACTTTATTGCAGGATGGATCGGAGGTGAGTGTACACTTTGTCCTAAATACACATATTTTTATGTGGCAATTATTTGGAATTCACGTATTTTAGTGCACGTTAAATAATCTAACTGCACTTTGCTCACCGTTAAAACTATTGTCAAAACTTACAGCCTGTGGTCAAAACACATTTTAATTTATCTGATATTTATTCTCCCATAAATACAGCTTTGAACAAGGCATTTCGACCAAAACAGCTCATTATGAATAGCTGTGCAATAGGATTAACTGGGAGCAAAGTTGCGGTGACTCCTGTTGCATGTGTTGGTTGTTGATGTGTCTGGCAGTGGCCGTAGGGGGCGCTGTTTGCTGCTAATTGCATAAGTTTCTTGCATCAATAACCTAAATACAGTGTGGTGGAGAAATACTTTGAAACTTGGGAAACTAGAAATAACTTTAACTGGACATAATGTGAGATTTAAGCCTTTTTTAAACCAGGAAAGCCTTGTTGAGATGAATAACCTGTTTTTAGACTTATAGACTACTTTTAGAATACTTTTAGAATACTTTTAGAATACTTATAGAATACTTATAGAATATTTATAGAATAATTATAGACTACTTTTAGAATACTTATAGACTACTTTTAGAATACTTATAGAATACTTATAGACTACTTTTAGAATACTTATAGACTACTTTTAGAATACTTATAGAATACTTATAGACTACTTTTAGAATACTTATAGAATACTTATAGACTACTTTTAGAATACTTATAGACTACTTTTAGAATACTTATAGAATACTTATAGACTACTTTTAAAATACTTATAGAATACTTATAGACTACTTTTAGAATACTTATAGACTACTTTTAGAATACTTATAGAATACTTATAGACTACTTTTATAATACTTATAGAATACTTATAGAATATTTATAGAATACTTATAGACTACTTATAGACTACTTTTAGAATACTTATAGAATACTTTAAGACTACTTTTAGAATACTTTTAGAATACTTTAAGACTACTTTTAGAATACTTATAGACTACTTTTAGAATACTTATAGAATACTTTAAGACTACTTTTAGAATACTTTTAGACTTTGGTCGGAGAGACAAACTGCTGGAGATAAATCTTCAGGTTTTGTTCCAACAGAAACAGAGTCTGGGCCTCGCTCCAACTTCGAAAACTCAGTCCAAACTCAGTCCAAACTCAGTCCAAACTCAGTCCAAACTCAGTCCAAACTCAGTCCAAACTCAGTCCAAACTCAGTCCAAACTCAGTCCAAACTCAGTCCAAACTCAGTCCAAACTCAGTCCAAACTCAGTCCAAACTCAGTCCAAACTCAGTCCAAACTCAGTCCAAACTCAGTCCAAACTCAGTCCAAACTCAGTCCAAACTCAGTCCAAACTCAGTCCAAACTCAGTCCAAACTCAGACCAAACTCAGTCCAAACTCAGACCAAACTCAGACCAAACTCAGACCAAACTCAGTCCAAACTCAGTCCAAACTCAGACCAAACTCAGACTTATAGAATGCTTTTAGAATACTCTACTCTACTCTACTCTACTCTACTCTACTCTACTCTACGCTACTCTACTCTACTCTACTCTACTCTACTCTACTCTACGCTACTCTACTCTACTCTACTCTACTCTACTCTACGCTACTCTACTCTACTCTACTCTACTCTACCCTTCTCTACTCTACTCTACTCTACTCTACTCTACTTTACCCTTCTCTACTCTACTCTACCCTTCTCTACTCTACTCTACTCTACTCCACCCTACTCTACTCGACTCGACTCTACGCTACTCTACTCTACTTTACCCTTCTCTACTCTACTCTACTCTACTCTACCCTACCCTTCTCTACTCTACTCTACGCTACTCTACTCTACTCTTCGCTACTCTAATCTACGCTACTCTACTCTACTCTACTCTACTCTACGCTACTCTACTCTACCCTTCTCTACTCTACTCTACGCTACTCTACTCTACTCTACGCTACTCTAATCTACGCTACTCTACTCTACTCTACTCTACTCTACGCTACTCTACCCTTCTCTTCTCTACTCTACTCTACTCTACCCTACTCTACTCGACTCGACTCTACTCTACTCTACCCTACTCTACTCTACTCTACCCTACCCTTCTCTACTCTACTCTACGCTACTCTACTCTACTCTACGCTACTCTAATCTACTCTACTCTACTCTACTCTATGCTACTCTACTCTACGCTACTCTACTCTACGCTACTCTACCCTACCCTACTCTACTCTACGCTACTCTACTCTTCTCAAATCCAACTAGGAGAGTAGAGTTGAAACAGGACTTTTCTCTTCTGCATGAGAGCGACTCGTGCTGCAAATAATGAATGATTTTGCAATTTATTAAATTCCGCCAAAAACACTAAAAACAGCAGTAAAGACACAAATCAAAATTGTGCAATCGAGAGAAAAATGTATATTAGATAGACTTTATTCAAGCTTACACAATTACAATGTCTTTTAAACATGTGCATGCATTGTTATATGCATTTACATTACAATACAATACAATACAATATATTCTTGTATAGCCCTAGGTCACAACAGAAGTCATCTCAGAGACTTAACAAAACCATTGAAATCACCAACACAGGTCAGAGAATCAACAGTTAAAACATATGAAGAATATAAAGCACACACAGAAGAAAATGTCCATACATGTTGTAGAATGCTAAAGTGTCCTGATCATCACCAATCCTTTCTGTTGGACACTAACTGTCCAACAAGACCCTCCTGCATCAACAAGGAACAACTCTTAAAAAACCCAGTGGGAAAAAGTGAGAAACCTTGGGGAGAACTAGGGAAACCCACAGGGAGGGAGACCCATATGAGAAAGGGATCCGCTCCTCCGGACGGACAGGCTAATGATCTAGGACCTAAGCTAGCTACAGAACGTGGACCAGTGGCCGCTGAACGTGGACAGGTCCGGTGCAGGACTGAAGCACTCCCAGGCGGGTCGGGCGGGGCAGTCCGCAGGTGTAGATGGAAGAGGCCAGGCTCAGAGATCCCGTCATCGTACCATGAAACAGACAATGGGACAACGGGTGAATAGCAATGAACAAACTACAGTCAAAATCATAATAATGCTAAATAGATAAAGTAGGAAGGAGGAGAGGATAGTGCTCAAGTAACAGTCTAAGATATTTAGCCTTCCCTGAGTCTTACCTTCCTAACATATGCTAAACTAAACAGAACTGTTTTAGCCTAGCCTGGAGCCAGTTAAGATCCTTGATGCTGTATTTTAAACAAGCTGGAAGCTCTTCAAAGAGGTTTTAGGGCACACCACCAGCAAAGCATTACAGTAGTCGAACCTTGAGCAAACAGCAATTCATGTGAGTATTAAGACATAACATATAACGATATACACAGCTCGAAAAGGGAGTGAGAAGAAGTAAACGTATACAACTCCCACCCCCTCTCATTACAAACATTTTTTATATAAACATACATTTACACTGTTAATCAATACAAGAATGTGGCAACTGAATTCAGAACGAGCGGCAACGGAGGAGGCGGACCTCAGTTCACAGCAAACAGCCCTGCGGTGACGCACGTATTCTTTTAAAACATGAATCCCCAGAGGGTCTACCTGCTCTGATGCATCTCACACGCAGCATTCTGAGTGATATTATGGATAAATGGGCGGGTCATTCGGACGTGCGTTAATGCGTTAATGAAAAATGTAATTAACATGAGTTAACGCGATAATTTTGACAGCCCTAATATATATATATGTGTGTTTAAAACTATATATGTGTGTTTAAAACTATATATATATGTGTGTTTAAAACTATACATGTGTGTTTAAAACTATATATATATGTGTGTTTAAAACTATATATATGTGTGTTTAAAACTATATATGTGTGTTTAAAACTATATATATGTGTGTTTAAAACTATATATGTGTGTTTAAAACTATATATGTGTGTTTAAAACTATATATATATGTGTGTTTAAAACTATATATGTGTGTTTAAAACTATATATATGTGTGTTTAAATCTATATATATATGTGTGTTTAAAACTATATATGTGTGTTTAAAACTATATATGTGTGTTTAAATCTATATATATATGTGTGTTTAAAACTATATATGTGTGTTTAAAACTATATATATGTGTGTTTAAAACTATATATGTGTGTTTAGAACTATATATGTGTGTTTTAAAACTATATATATGTGTGTTTTAAAACTATATATGTGTGTTTAAATCTATATATATGTGTGTTTAAAACTATATATGTGTGTTTTAAAACTATATATATATGTGTGTTTAAAACTATATATGTGTGTTTAAAACTATATATGTGTGTTTTAAAACTATATATATGTGTGTGTTTAAAACTATATATGTGTGTTTAAATCTATACATATATGTGTGTGTTTAAAACTATATATGTGTGTTTAAATCTATATATATGTGTGTTTAAATCTATATATGTGTGTGTTTAAATCTATATATATGTGTGTTTAAATCTATATATATATATATGTGTGTTTAAAACTATATATATGTGTGTTTAAAACTATATATATGTGTGTTTTAAACTATATATATGTGTGTGTTTAAAACTATATATATGCGTGTTTAAAACTATATATGTGTGTTTAAATCTATATATATATGTGTGTTTAAAACTATATATGTGTGTTTAAAACTATATATGTGTGTTTAAAACTATATATATATATATATGTGTTTTAAATCTATATATGTGTGTGTTTAAAATCTATATATATATATGTGTGTTTAAAACTATATATATGTGTGTTTAAAACTATATATATGTGTGTTTAAAACTATATATATGCGTGTTTAAAACTATGTGTGTTTAAATCTATATATATGTGTGTTTAAAACTATATATATATGTGTGTTTAAAACTATATATGTGTGTTTAAAACTATATATATGTGTGTTTAAAACTATATATATATGTGTGTTTAAAACTATATATGTGTGTGTTTAAAACTATATATATGCGTGTTTAAAACTATATATGTGTGTTTAAGTCTATGTGTGTGTTTGACCGCAGGGGCTTCCAGTGTGGTGGTGGGACATCCGCTGGACACAGTGAAGGTCAGTCACTAAACCCTGATCTGGAGTTGGTTTTTAGGCCATGCCTAAAAAATGGTTATTGGTATAGCACAGTTCATACAACAACAAAAATAAAAAATAAAAATCGGTTTTATATAGCGCTTTTCTGGACACTCAAAGACGCTTCACATGTGTCATTATTCATTCACTCCATACACGGTGGTGATAAACTACTACTGTAGCCACAGCTGCCCTGGGGCACACTGACAGAAGCGAGGCAACCAGTATGTGCCATCGGCCCCTCCCACCACCACCAACCATTCACACACACACCAAACTCATTCTAGGCAATGGGGGTGAAGTGTCTTGCACTACGGCACAACGGCAGTTTGGCACTTTACAGCCGCCCCACTGTGGCTGGTGTTCCCAGAGGTTAAGTGTCTTGCCAAGGACACAACGACAGTAGTCAGTGGGAGTCGATGGTGAAAGTCTTGAGCGGGGCTTGAACCCACGACCTTCTGGCTCAAAGGCCAACGCTATAGTTCTTTTCCATTGGGATAAGCCTCACTAGTAAGATATTTTTGCAGGAGAATAGTTTAAACCAATGGGGAGGGGCCTCAGCTGTCTGTCAAGGATTTGAATTAGTTGCGCCCAATCAGGAGGCTGTGGGGGCGGGTCTAACAGGGGCTTGCGTTGGAATAACCTCTCTCCATCAATTTTATTGTTATTTTAATGTATTTAGCCAAGTATTGTAAATATTAGTACTTTCTTTCTTCAGTGCACAGACACATCACACAGACACAGATGGATTGTTTTGTTTTTCCCACAGACTCGGCTCCAGGCTGGACAAGGCTACAAGAACACGCTGCATTGTGTCCTGAGCATCTACAGAAAGGAATCGGTAAAACAAACGTAAAGCTGGGTTGGCATAGATCTGGTGAGGTGTGATTTCAAGACTTCAAAATCAAACATATACAAATGGAAGCAGAGGATAATACATCTGTCAAAGTGTCTCTCGCTGCGTGTCTCTGTTTGGGCTCTGCTCACGTGAGCGCGTACATCTGGACTCTCCCGCTGAGCTCGGCTCGGAAAACAAAAGAAACAAACCCAAACTATTTCAGCACATTCAGGGTGTCAGGAAGCAATAAAAATCCGTCTCTGTGTAAACCAGTGTGCTCCAGAGTTTCACTGATTGACTTTAGTTTTGGGTCAGTTCTGATCTGGGTTTGGACTTTCAGATGTATTTTCTACTTGGTTCTGGTGTGTTTTGTATGTTTTACTTCCTGTCTCCATGTTGATCGTCTGTCCCTGTGTCGCTCAAACAAGACTAAGAATAAGATTTAATTGTGTCTGGAACTTCCTAAGGAACAATTTACACTTATTAAGCTCAAACATGCACTTTCTCACTGAGGACGAACCGACGTGTTTTAGCGCCAGTGCTGTCGAACCATTCATTGTTGTATTTACATTTGTCCCTTTTCTCAATGTCCCTTGATAAAATTTAAAATAGTCATATAATAAAACATTTATTAACCTCGCTTGCTCGGTTAATAAGTCGTTACTCTTTTGTTGATTTCTCGCAGTGGAAATAAATCAAGCTTCAACGTCAGGTCTGGAGATAGTTGCAGTGATAAAAAAGTATAAATATAATGTATAAAAACGTGTGTGTGTGTGTGTCTGTGCGTGTGTGTGTGTGTGTGTGTGTGTGTGTGTGTGTGTCTGTGTGTGTGTGCGTGCGTGTGTGTGTGTGTGTGTGTATGTTGCAGGCCATGGCGTTCTTCAAGGGCATGTCCTTTCCCCTGGCCTCTATCACGGTCTATAACTCGGTGGTGTTTGGCTTCTTCAGTAACGCTCAGAGACTGATCAGTAAGCACAGGTACGGAGACGGGCGCCACCCCGGCTCGCTCGCCGACATCACGCTGGCCAGCACGCTCACCGGCCTGGTCTCCGTGGGTCTGGGGGCTCCCGTAGACCTGGTCAAGATCCGGCTCCAGATGCAGACCCAGACTCTGCTCACAGGTACCAGACTCAGCTCACAGGTACCAGACTCAGCTCACAGGTACCAGACTCTGCTCACAGGTACCAGACTCAGACTCTGCTCACAGGTGCCAGACTCAGACTCTGCTCAGAGGTACCAGACTCAGCTCACAGGTACCAGACTCAGACTCTGCTCACAGGTACCAGACCCAGACTCTCCTCACAGGTACCAGACTCAGACTCTGCTCACAGGTACCAGACTCAGACTCTGCTCACAGGTACCAGACTCAGCTCACAGGTACCAGACTCAGCTCACAGGTACCAGACTCTGCTCACAGGTACCAGACTCAGACTCTGCTCACAGGTGCCAGACTCAGACTCTGCTCAGAGGTACCAGACTCAGCTCACAGGTACCAGACTCAGACTCTGCTCACAGGTACCAGACCCAGACTCTCCTCACAGGTACCAGACTCAGACTCTGCTCACAGGTACCAGACTCAGACTCTGCTCACAGGTACCAGACTCTGCTCACAGGTACCAGACTTCCTGATGTTGCAGTAAAACACTTTAAAGATAAAAACATAAATGAGTTTGTTCTCAGTGACCTCAGAACACTCTCATTTTACTGTCGCACCTTTATGTATCACAGGGACTTTCATTATTATTATTATATTACATTATGATGGAGTAACTTTGGAGTAACTTTAGAGTACCTTTGGATTAACTTTGGAGTAACTTTAGAGTAACTTTGGAGTAACTTTGGAGTAACTTTGGAGTAACTTTGGAGTAACTTTAGAGTAACTTTGGAGTAATTTTGGATTAATTTTGGATTAATTTTGGATTAATTTTGGAGTAACTTTGGAGTAACTTTGGAGTAACTTTAGAGTAACTTTAGAGTAACTTTGGAGTAACTTTGGAGTAACTTTGGATTAACTTTGGAGTAACTTTAGAGTAACTTTGGAGTAACTTTGGATTAACTTTGGAGTAATTTTGGATTAACTTTGGAGTAACTTTGGAGTAACTTTGGATTAACTTTGGATTAATTTTGGAGTAACTTTGGAGTAACTTTAGAGTAACTTTGGATTAACTTTGGAGTAACTTTGGAGTAACTTTGGATTAATTTTAGAGTAACTTTCAGCTGCACAGATAAGGCAGTGAACGGAAAAACACTTTTCTTTTCTTTTCCATTAAACTAAATAAAATCACAGAGTTCACTTGAATCTAAATCAGACGTCTTCCTCTTTCGCTGAAGAAGAGTTTACGACCCGCTACACGCCAGAAACACTGAAGACGTCATAAACAGACTCATAAAGTGAATATTGTGTTTGCAGGGAACTCATAAACTGAGGCCAAACTACTGACTCACATCAAATGGGTTATAACGGGTCAATAGCACAGACTGTCAGTGTGCCCCAGGGCAGCTGTGGCTACACCTCTGTCTGAAAAGTTCTGAAAAGCGCTGTATAAACCCATGCATTTTATGATTATACTCTACTCTGACATGTGCACATTTGTAAGATAAGAAAAGATCGTTCTTTGTTCCTCCCACAGTCATCGTTTCACTGAATAAAAACTATGAAATAAAAGTCCTCAGATTGAACAGGAAGATAATATAAGTAGAATAATAAAACTCTGCAGCTTGTACTTTAGCAGAGAATATGATCAGAATAAACAGTCGTCATAAAAGCAGCAGGTGAGAGGCACGTGTTCTCATTGTACAGTCTGACAGCAGCAGGAAGGAAGGACCTGCGAGACCTCTCCTTCACACAGAGAGGGTGAATAAGTCTGTCCCTGAAGCTACTCTCCAGAGCAGCCAGAGTGTCCTGCAGGGGGCGACAGTCATGGTATTTGAATCTTTGGGCTAGGAGCTGATTGGCTGAGAGCTGATTGGCCGAGAGCTGATTGGCTGAGAGCTGATTGGCTGAGAGCTGATTGGCCGAGAGCTGATTGGCTGAGAGCTGATTTGGCCGAGAGTCTGTTCCTGTCTTTAGATCTACTTTTTCAGAGGCCAAATAATTCATGTGAAAACTAGTGACAGCAGTATTTTGAGGTTTAGAGTCTAGTTGCCGTCTGTAACCGTCTCCTCCCGGTCTCCACAGAGAGCCTGCAGCTAACCGCTAACACCAGTCTGGGGGTGCACTCGGTCTCCCTGCCCGCCTCCGCCTCCTCCTCCTCCTCCTCGGGCTCAGTTTACCGTGGGCCTCTTCACTGCATCAGCTCCATCCTGCAGACAGAGGGCGTGGCCGGGCTGTACCGTGGCGCCGGGGCCATGGTGCTGCGTGACGTTCCCGGATACGCCCTCTACTTCATCCCGTACATGGTCCTGGTCGACCTGCTGCGCCCGGACCCCAGCTCCAGCCCCCACCCCTGCTCCATCTGGCTCGCAGGCGGCGTCGCAGGTCAGTTTCACCGTACTGTACATCCTGGACTATAAGCCGCACCTGCGTTCTCTCCCTATGGTCCAATACCATGTGGTCTCTCTCTGGATCAATACCATACATTAAATTGAGAAATAAAAGATGTAATCTAGTGTTTTTATTTTAATCTGAAACATTCTGACTTTTAAAGATTCTCCAACGAGACAAAGACATTTAGTCTGATTTAAGAACTGTTTATTTACTTTTATAGGAGACATTTCTTGAATATTTCTAAAACAGAATCTGGTTTTAAATCAGAATGTGCTCAGATTAAGACACATTTTGCCCAATAAGAGACATTTTTTACGTATTTTTTCAACACATTTAGCAGTGTATAAGCCGCACCACCTTCATGTTAAGAGAAAGTACATTGTGTGCACATACAGGCCGCACTGGAATATAAGCCGCAGGTTGGTTGTTCTGTAACAGAGAGACCACTGTTTTAACTGTTTCAATGTCGGGTGTTAGCTTCACCGTTAGCTTCCATCACTCGTTCATCGTGTCCTGTAGCGACGGAAACTTGACTAAAAATAACAATAAGTTAATCAAATCTGCTCTGACGACTCTAACACAATACAAATACACATATTAGCCGCATCACTCTATAAGCCACAGCTTTCACAGGGCAAGAAAAACGTAGCAACTTAATGGAAAGTATAGATTTTTTTTTTTTAAATATACAAAAGTGGGCAAGAAAAGGCGAGCTCAACGTCGACTCAAACGAGGAAGTCCATTTTAATGTTTTTATTTAGTATTTAGACGTAATTCAATTCAATTAATTTGCGGACAGCCCCAAACCACAGCAGCCGTCGTCTCTGTGGACTTTACAAAGTTGTCGATTCACCAACAACAGATCAGAGAATCAAACCGTTAGAACACAGGAAATGCAATAACAACAAACTTCATTGATCCACAAGGAAAGTATTTGGGGAAAAAGATGTTTATTTCAGTCTAAAAGTGTTGCTGTTTGTACAGAAACTATTCTCAGAGAAACTAAAGTGAAAGTGCAGCTCCAGTGCAGGGCAGCCATCCCTGCTTGCGGCTCGTCCACGGATGGATTGTTTTTATCAGCGCTGCTACTGGAGCTGATAAGGGACAAACAAGAGGCAGAAGTCACAGAAACAGCACAAAAATATGTCGACTTCAAATCAGCAGCAGTTTGTGTGAGGCTGCATCTGCATGGGATTAAAGCTGGGGTACGTAACTTTCAACCCACAGAGATAGATTGAT